CATTTATTGGGTTAAAAATACCCCTCCATCCATCTTTTTGTCCACTATTACCCTTAAAACTAACAATCTTTTATTTTTATTTGTTTTAATTATTAATTATTATATGGCATCTTTCTATTGGATAAATTTAAATTCCAACCCACCAATTTTTTTTCTACCCACCCGACCCATAGCCACATTTTTTGACCCAAACTTAATTAAAAGATTCATCAAAAATAAAAATTTGATCATCCCTTCTCTGCCCCCTCAAACCTAATAACCTATTTTCTTATTGGAGGTTCGAGAGATCAAGCACAACAGAAGTTCCAGTCACGAAAGGGAAGTTCACCAGAAAAAGCATTGGAGGATAAGTTAGCGTTCACAATGTTATCAATGTTTTCTGCTCATTGTCTATTAAACCTGCAAATTGAAGAGATTGAGGAAAACAGAAAAAAAGTTGTTCGCCAAATAGACAACAATTATTTTAATCACCATTGAATGAGGTTGTATATGGTGATAGGAAGAAAATAAATTACTCCTATTAGGTTTAAGGGGGAGAAACAAGATAATCAAATCTTTTATTTTTGATGAATCTCTTAATTGGGTTTGGATTAAAGAATGTGGATATGGGTCGGGTGGGTTGGAAAAAAATTGGTGGGTTGTAATTTAAATTTATCCAATAGAAAGGTGCCACGTAATAATTAATATTAATAAAATTAAAAAAAATTAAAAAAATAAAAGGTTGTTAGTTTTAAGGGTAATAGTAGACCAAAATGATGGATTGAGGGGTATATTTAACCTAATAGGTGGATGAAGGGTATTTTTAAACCTTTTCGAATAGTTCAAGGGTATTTTTGGCCCTTTTCCGTTCTTTTTATTTGAAAATCCAGCTCTTTTCTTTTTTCCCTTTTCACCAACTGTCCTTTTGCTAATTTTTCTTAAATAAAATTCTTTTTTCAAGATAATTTTTATTCTAGTTTTTTCTTATTGATTTTTTTCGCTATCATATTTAAATATAATTGTCTTTGTTATGACAAGTGTTAAATTTGTACATTTTTTATGATTGATAGCTCAAAAAGTAACCACAATCTTAAAATCTTGAATCAATCACTGCTCATGTCTATTGTGCAACTTAGTCTCCCAAAAATATAAACAGTCATGATCTTCCATGTCTATTAACTCTTTCTTTCTCATTAGTCTAATTAGAAATAATGAAAAGGGAAGGAAAAACAATAATTTGTTCTAGCGCCTCCATTTCGGTTCTCCAATTCAAAAGCAAAAAAATCCTTCTCGCTGGTTTGTATTTTTGGTAAATACAATTGTATGTGAAGGTATATTGTTTCTCCTCCTTTTTTTCTTGAACCAATCCAAAGTTTCCGATTGTCTATTGTATTGAATTGAAAAAAATAACGCTTATGTTGAAGGATTTTAGCTCGCAATTATACACTTTTGATGATACACATTTATGTTAAAAATAGTGAGCACCCATAGCCGTAAAGTCCTGGATCCACCACTGCATATAAAGATCTACCATATATCTCAAGAATCGATTGTGTTTGTTGATATACACAAAAGTGAAGTGTGTAAGGCAAATATTATATAGATTTTTTTTTCTCTATATATATTTGTTTCTTCAAAAAAGGGACTCCAACTATTACGACCCAAAGTTTACCTTAGATGTGATATGGTGTATAAGACCCAAAAAGGCCCTACGCAAGACACTGGACATACATTTAACGCAGTATAATAGAAAATACAAGAAATTAAGCAAGATATCTCATATCATAAAAGAAGTCTAAACATAAGTGTGGAATACCAAACTTTGTCTTGACAAGCCAATCTAAACCAATATAAGAGTTGTTGGGACGTAATCCATACACCACGTACAACGTCTCATCGAAATAAAATAAAATCAATAAAAGTCTTCATGGTCTTGCCTTCTCGAAGAGTGAGGACTCATCAATCCAAGGTAATTTAGTAACAATCTGAGCTATCCACGGGCGGAAGGAGATACGTCGGACCCTATATTATAAAACAATATAGGTACAAGTAAGCGTTAGTACATGAAATATACTAAGTATGGGAAATGCATAAAGGCATAAACATGATCATAAGAGGATTTAAACATGATATGTGTGACCAAGCTAAAACACGAGTAAAACCATTTAAAGAAATCGTAAGTCATAAAAAGGGTCAAGGCATACTTAAAATATAATAGAAGCGTTCATAAAACCTTGAAGATAACATAGTTTGTTTTTGTGGGATATTTACCTTTAACCGACACTAAGACCATGCGAGCTATAACTGGGAATCCAATGTAACCCTCACATCGAGAAAAGGATCCTACTTGCCAATGTAGTCTCTGTAACATTCATTCATATGCTATTTGTGGATCCACTAGTTAGATCATTTAAGACAATCCTAAGGGGGCATGTAGTTTCGGACAAACAGATTGCCTCTAGAGATCCGGTCTCTACTAATGGGAGTCTCCATCTCAAATTCCTTTCAGTGCTAAGTAAAATTCCAACAGAATTAGTCATAATCATATTCATATTATCATACTTGGAAAGGCATAATTATACTACCAATCCAATCATAAGTCATTATAAAGTATCTCCTAAAAATCATGATTCATACATATGTGTGAAAAACTTTCACAACCATGATTTCATAATGTGTGGAAAAATCTTTCACGATTCTTTGATACCTATCTCATAAACATCCTTAGTTCATAAACATTATTTTCATAATTATGCATATAACTTCCCTAAATCATAGTTCATAATTTCATAAGCTTCCTTCAAAAATTCATCATCACAAAAAGCACGGGTCTATAGAAATCATGTGGTTTTATCAATTTATGTAAGAGAAGATTGAAATTGAACAATTAAATCAACATTAAGCTAGCATTTGCCCATAGATTTTCAAATATTTTTGGTAAATATTATTTGGATTAAAATTTGGGTGAAATTTCACCATGTGCTTGACCATAGTATTTAGAAAACATATTTCACTTTTTTAGGAAATATGATTTATACCCATAAGTTTTAAAAACTATCAAAACTAACCATAGGTTTGTATTACAAGTCAATTGGATCTTCGTTGCAACAAATAACAAGTAGCGTCCATGACACTAGAGCAATATGGTAGTTCAGAGTGAGTGCAACAAGCATCATTCCATACATCGTGAAGTAGACAAAACACATAAATTTGTTACCCTGAGCCGATTGTTCATCATTTTCATCAATAACCATATCATCACTTTCATATTCACTACATATTCCATCACTACTTTGGTGTTTATGTAAAAAGTTAGGGAAAATGCATAAGTACCCCCCAGCCTATGCCCAAAATCCCTGAGACACACCTAACCTTTACTAAGGTCCTATTACCCCCGAACTTATTTTTTAATTAATTTTCTACCCATTTTCGGACTACGTGGCACTATCCTTGAAAAAATTGTCAACACGCGCTGGGCCCACAAGATAGTGCCACGTAGGCCAAAAATGGGTAGAAAATTATATATAAAATAAGTTCGGGGGGGGGGGGGGGGGCGGGTAATAGGACCTTAGTAAAGTTTAGGTGTGTCTCAGGGATTTTGGGCATAGGCTGGGGGGAGGGGTACTTATGCATTTCCATAGAGGGTGTTTTTGTAAAAGATAAAAATGTGGTGTAGAATTTAAATTTTTAAAAGATCCCAAATAATTAGATTTGACCCAAATACTAGTTTTTTCTAGTATTTGGGAATTTGGATTATTTGTGAAAAAACTATTTGCCAAATAATGACAAATTGTATAGACAAACACTATTTGCCAAAATTTTCCCCAAATTTTACTTAGAAAATCTATGGCCAAACAGGTCCTAAGTAAGACCCATGGAGATTGCATTCAACGCTAAGCAATTTAGGTGAAATTGAATTGAAAACTTGAAATTTTTTTGGCACCTAATGGATAAATGAAATCCATTGGTGAATTTTGACAATGACTATACTGAGTTCGAAAAGTCATCTTCGTAATGTCCTTTCCCTTCATGCTCAATTGGTGATAACCCGACTGAAGGTCAATCTTGGAGAAGAAACTCGCATCCTGGAGTTGATCAAACAAATTATCAATCATTGGAATATGATACTTATTCTTTATGGTAACCTTATTCAATTACCGATGGTCAATGCACATTCGGAGGGAACCGTTTTTCTTTCAAACAAACAAAACTGGAGCACCCTAAGGTGAGATACTCGGTCTACTGAATCCTTTATCCAATAATTCTTTTAACTTATCTTTAATTCTTTAAGTTTTACCAGGGCCATACAATAGGGAGGAATAGAGATAGATTGTGTATATAGGAGAGGATCTATACCGAAGTCTATTTTCTTTTCGAGTGAAATATCGAAAAGATCATCGAGAAACACTTTCGGGAACTTATTCACAATTGGAACTGACTCAAGAGTTGGGGTTTTAGAATATGTATCTCTAACCTAAACAAGATGATAAATGCAACCCTTGAAAATTATTTTCTAGATTCTATGCAAGATAAAAAGTGACCCTTAAGAGCATAAGTTACCCCTTCCCATGACATGATAGGTTTATTTGGAACCTTTAGTGTGACCAATCGGGTGTTACAATCTATTAAATAACATGACTGAAGCCAATTATCCCAAAAATAACATCAAAATCTAACATATCAAGCTCTAAAAGATCAACATGAGTGACTCTATGGGAAACATAAATAGGGCAATTTCTATAAACTTTCTTAGCAAAAATAGAATCACCAACGAGAGTAGAGACATATTAAAGTGATCAGAAAGGATTTCAAGACCAACATCAAATCTCATGGCCACATAAGGGGTAACAAATGACAAAGCAGCTCCCGGATCAAGCAAAACATACACATCAAAATGAAATACTTTCAACAAACCGGTCACAACATCTAGAGAACCCTCATGATCTTGTCGAGTCTGAAGAGCATAAAACATATTCTGACGACGAGAATCCATACTAAACCACTAGGCTGGGATTTCCTACCTTCCATTCCCTTAGTAGCAAGCGTTGGAAAATACTTCATTTTGTGACCACTCTTTCCACAACTAAAGCAACCATCCGTACCAGCTAAGCATTTTCCTGAATAAATCTTGTCACATCTTTGGCAAGCGGGAGTAGAAGATCCATCACCATCACTTTCTTGAGACTTGGGGTTAGACACTCTTTCCTTGTTGAACTTATGATTCATAGCATTAGAAGAACATTGACCGGAAAACTTTTACCAAAATTGAGGACATTAATGTCCATCAGACCTAGAATGAGAAAAATCACCATCACTGGTCCTTGTCCTCTTTCACTAAGGACTTCTCCTTTAGATTTTCCTCTTCAATTTGTTAGGCGTGGGCCATCAACTAGTATTTGTCCACGTCGTTAATAAACATGGCGGTGCGACACTCTTTGACTACCATTTTGGACACACCCGACACAAACTTACTCATCCTTGTCCTAGAGTCAACAACTATAGTCGGAGCATACTTAGCCAATTTAGTGAACTTCAAAGCATACTCATTCACACTCATATTCAATTGATGAAGATTAGTGAACTCAAGCACCTTTGCTTCCTTCATCTCAAGGGAAAGAAACAACTAAGAAACACTTCTTTGAATTTCTGCCAATCAAGAGGACTCACATCAATAGCCCTCTCTCCCTTTCATTGTTTGAACCAAACTTGTACAACACACTTAAGTTAATAAGCAGCCAACTTCGCCTTTTCTACCAGTGACACTCTCACAATCTCCACCATGTTATATATCTCATCAATGAACTCTTGAGGATCCTCATAAACTTTGAATCCATGAAATTCCAAAGGATTTATCCTAGTGAAGTCTGCTATCTTTGTTGCCTTCATACCAACATTTGGGTTGACGGGAGAAACAACTTCTCTATTTTCTTGAGCCATAATAGCTTGATATAAGACTTGGAACACAGCTCAGAACTCAACATGAGTCACTTATTCAGCCAAAGGATCAACCAAAACTTGAGGAACCTCGTGCTGCACATTCTCACCAACAGTCTTTCTCACATAAGATTTTCGGGGAGCCATATCCTGAAAAGCATCAGATAAGAGTTAGGAGAAGGACTTTTATAGAGATGAACTCTATGACACATGTCACGACCCAGGGGTACACCCTAGATGTAACATGGCGCATAGAACCCCGAAGGACTCCATACAAGACACTTAGCATATCATAACATAAGTAATAGAACAATACGAATAAAAATGCATTTCAAATCTAAAATTTTCTTCATAAAAACAAAAGCGGAAGTCTAGATTCTAAGTCTCAACATGGCCATCTATTACAATAGTTGAAATGAAAGGGACACAACCCATACAACATAGTCCAAAAGGAAATACTATAAATGAAACTACAAGTGAAACATCCATCCTCGAATCACGAGGACTCACCACAAGCTAGGAGAATAGTCAAATCCAAGATTTAGGCACAATGATGACTGCCTTAAGAACCGGACCCTACACTTGGGAAAAATGTTGGAAAAGTAGACGTTAGTACAACAATACACTAAGTATGATAGCCATGCATAAAAACATATAAAACATGCTAAAGGGGACATTTCGTTTGAAAACATGCTCTTTACCAAGTTCATACATCATCATACAGATAGTTGGAAAACATAACTCAAAACAACATCTTGCATGCAAACTAGCATTTCCTTTTTAAACTTAGAATACTTACGGGATACTTCTTTAAGTATGCCTTAGTTCATGACTACTTTGAACACTACGGTATGCCTCTCTAAGCAAGCCTTAGTTCAATATTAAACTTCTTATTATTGTGGGAAATTAGCCTTACCGACATGAGATTGTCACGCCCCGAGCCTACACCCTGGATGTGGCCGGCACTCGAGAACCATTATTGGCCCCAAGTGAACCTTTGGACTGACTTACTTACTCAGCGGAAAACTTTAAGCATTAAGAAAAGAATTCATATGCTAAATAACTCAACTGTCTCAAACTGAACTCCTAATGTTTTAAAAATAAACATTTAACTTAGCCAAAATGGCAACTCAAATCTGAACATAAGCCAATAACAAAATGATGATAAATGAACTAACATCTAACTGACTATCTATGAAGACTCTAAAACAACTAAGATGGATGTCGGGACATGCCCACGATATCCTAATGAACTAAAATGATAAAGTAATGAAAAAAGGGGATCCTCCAAAATGCAATGAGGCTCACCAACAACTCTGAAGCTCAACTGGATCAACGATGCACTGAATGCTGATCCTGGTTACCTGTGTCTGCATCATAAGACGATGCAGTCCAACTGGCATCAATACATTGAATGTACGAGTATGCGAGTTGGAATGCTAAACACAACTTAAGCTTGAAAAGAATCTGAAAGGAACTGAAGAACTTACCTGATTCAACTCAACTCAACATAACTAAAATCATTTCAATATAAAGCAGTTTAAAAACAAGTGCAATATAAGAAAAAGTTGTTTAAAACATGATGTAAACTCTGTGTATTTAGAAATACAATAATAAATCTGTATGTATGCAAAGATACAATATGAACTCTGTTTGTATATAAAAATACAAAATACTACTATGGGAGTTTCTCTAACCAACAACCATCACTTAAGAGCTATAGTGATGATATAGTGTTTTACCTCACGCTGCCAAGGACCGTCTTATACCTTACCGGAGGTATAGAACCTAACTCACTAAGTGGATTCACTAGTCTATGCTAAAAAGCACTAAAGGAATCATCTAAAAAGTATGACCCTTTTCTACCCATGGTGGCTAGATAGTTTATGGCGGTTGTGAGTTGTCTGAACTCTCCCCCATATCGCTGCTCAATACTACTCCAAAAAATATAATATTAGCTCTTATGTTTAAAAATATACTTCTTTCTGTGATTTGAGATTAGTGCTAAAAAACTTAGCTCAAAGTCTATCTTGGAAATCAAAGTTTCCTCTCTTGCTTCATTTAGAAATCGATTACTCTTTTCTGAAAACTAGCCCGAAGACTCCTTGAAAATCGAGGTTTCCTTTCTTGTTTAAATGCGAAAACATTTTAAACCCTTTGGGAATACATAGCTCCCATATACTTTTGAAGAAATGAACTTCAAGTTTACTCTTTACTGAACTCAAAACTTAAGTCTTGAAACAAAGTTAAAACGTTTGCAAAAAACTTTTGAAAACTTTATGAACTTCTCTTAACTTGACTCTTAACTTTCCTTGAATTGAACTTATGGACTCAGGGATCGTGATTTGTGATAGGAAAGATCTCATTATGTTTAGGAACGAATTTAGATAGTTAAACATGAGAAAAGACCATAAATCAATATCTGAGGGTGGGTCCGCCACGCGGAGAAACATTTAAATTTTGGTTTCGAAAATAACTTTTGAGGCAGAACGGTCCGTGACCGCTCCGCAATGTGAAATGACTTTTCCCAAATCTTGGGACTAGCTCCGCGACGCGGAGGCACTGTCAAATTTCGACCGACGAAATTTCTTCTTTGTTTTCCAGCTCTAAACCCTCTAAACTCCATTGGTTCTTTCCCCAAACACTTAGAATCGTCTATACCCTCAATATACATCAGGTTCTACTCGAAAACACAACTACAAACGTGAATCAATCCCAAGCAACTTCAACACAACCCACAAGGATTCACACGAACTTTATCAAGAATTTAAGGGATTTACTTTCACATCAATATACTTTGCTGAAATTGAATCAAGTTTGGCACGTGGGTGAAATAACCCAACGCTGGGTGATCTCACATACCTTGTAGGGATCACCCCCGACGAAATCCACAAGCTAAATTTGACGATCTTGACGAATCTTGCTTCTCTTCTCCTTTCTCCTCTTCTTTTCTCTCTTCTCCAAGCCCTAGCGTATTTTGGTAAAAGCATAAACTGATCTAATTTTGTTTAGACCATAACTTAATTACCAAAAACAAAATAAAATAATTGGGCAAGGAAAAGACCAAACTACCCTTTAAAAATCCGAATTGAACTTTCCTTATTCTAATTGCCCAACTTCCAAAGGGCATATATTACTCATACGAACTTGTAATCGCACAAACTCAGCGGCGTTGGAAAGATCATTCCAAGATATTTCCTACCATAACTGGAAGTTATCCTAACTCATCCTGAGCTTGAAGTTATGGCCATTTGAAGTTGACCAAAAACTCACTTTTTTTTCCTAACTTAACAAAATTTCCAGATTTTCATTCTTCCCAAAAATGACTATTTCAAATTCTTAGCTTATTCCTAGTTATTTCAAATTGCGAGATGTTATAGAGACCATGTGAGCTTAATGTGGAATCAAGTGACTCCCACACCGAAAAGGGTTGGTCTACTTGCCTAAGGTAGAACCAATACTCTTAGCTTAGGTGGATCCACTAGCTAATGACCTATGAGGGCACATAGTCTATAGGATAAGGAGATTGCTACTAGAAACCCGGCCTTACTACAGTGAAACTTCCATCTCAAAAGATTATTTCTAAAAACCCGGCCTTACCACGAGAGAGCTTTCATCTCATATAATATCCACTCGGTGCTAAGCATTAAACCACGGATTAGTTGTTGAGTCTTGGATTAACTTTATTACTCATGAAAGGGTTCCCTTGTCCTACCGATTCAAGTTACATCATATTAGGATAGCTCATTAGTCACTCATGAAAGGGTGCCCTTGGCTTACTGGTTCAAGGTGAATCACTAAAATAACTCTTTAGATCATGTGTGAGAAAACCTTTCAATAACACAACAACAAGATCATAATCATAGACATTTCACTCTCAAAGTGTTCTCAAAACATTTATATCATTCTCATAAAAACGTGCATAATCTCATACATGTCCCTTTCATGGCTCAAAACTTACTTTCAATCAACATATCTAAAATTCTAGCATTAGACATATGTTTAGATCCTAATTCATGTGAGTAGAATCACTTCATGCAAAATTTTCATAAAAACCTTCTTTCATCAACAATTATCCATATTACATGATCACAATTGGGAAAATAGGGATTTCATGGATTCTTAGGGAATTCAACCATACAACCATAAGAAATCATCAATTTATACATAATCTATCATAATTCAATCATTATAAATGAATTTGAAAGGAATACATGAGTTTGGAATCATACCCTAACTTTTGGGGAAATTACTAGTTTTGAAATTGAAGTTTGGAGGGACTCCATGGATGAAGGCTATCCATGGATGAAGAGCTACCATACTTCAGCTAGGAATCCCCACGAAATTGAGTAGAAAACCCTTGCTCTTTGAAACCCTAGGCTCCAACTTTCTTTTTCTTCTTCTTCCTTGAGGTCTAGAGAGAGAATTTTTTTGGAGAGGATGAGTTCTTTTGGGAATTTAGAAATAATGATTTGGATGAGTTATTTTAAGGGTATAAAAACCTTATATAGGTGGTTTAACTTAGGCTAAAACGACACCACTTAATATTAATTAAAAAAGAAAAACCCCAAAGTGCCCCTAACTAATTCCTCAACAGTGTTTACATATGACCACCCATGACCCCACGAACACGACCCGTGGATGGACCCACGTGGCTTGTTGGTCATCCGTGGCTGGGAATATGATGCCTGTTTCTGGGGCCCTGACCCATGGGGCATGGACCCCCCTATGGGGAGTGGGTCCTGCCCGTGGGTCACTATTTTGGGCAGTTTCTAGTGTCCTTTCTCAAGGTCCCCTAGTTGGTCCTTGAGGATTCGTACCTTGACGTTCCAACACTCAAACTTTTATTTTGAGTTCGGGAAGTTATATCTAGGACTTTAATCCTCATGTCAAGCTCTAGTTTAGCCTACTAGTTTCTCGGGTGTTACAACACAACTCTAGAGTAGTGAAAGAAGTGAAGTTTCCTAAACACTGTGTAGCCTCTTATTCATAAATGTAGCGTG